CACAGCGGCCACACACACAGACGGCCTCACACACGCAGACCCGAAGGCACAGCGGCCACACACACAGACGGCCTCACACACGCAGACCCGAAGGCCCAGCGGCTACAGACACACAGACGGCCTCCTGACCGCTCTTGCGCAGCGTCCACGCCCCCGGGAGCGGTCGGCGGTGGGAACGCTCACCTTGACCTGGCTGGAGGAGTCGTAGCGCATCCGCTGCCGGCTCTTGTTCACCTTGCTCATCAGCATCCTGCCCGTCCGGAAGTCGAAGGTGCTCAGGTCCATGGAGCCACCCAGGTAGCGTGCCAGCTGGGGCTTGCTCCGAAACTTCTTCCCACTGGGGCTGCGGATAGGGAGGCCGGCGGGTCAGTGCCCGGCCGGCACCGCCGTCCTCACCCTCTGCTCCGGTCTCCCTCTCTCCGGAGCCCCTCCTTGGGCCCCGGCCCCGCCCGGCAGCTGGAACCTTCGCTGCCCTGACTGCTCCCGGCCTCTGCCCACCCGTCTCTGGACGTGCAGGGACAGGCAGGGTCAGGCACCTGGTGGACACAGATGCTGAGTGAAGGACGAGCACCTCTACCTACAGAATGGGCCTGGCCCTTGCATCCTGGCTGCTCTGGAACATTCCGGAAACAGAATCAGGCATGTCCACGAGAAAAGACCCCAAGGACAGTAGGCAATCGTGGGGCACTTGAGAGCGGTCTCTTCCTCATGGTTACAGCGTCGGGGGGGGGGGTCTCCTGCTAAGACTTGGAGCCCAGACCTCAAAGAGCTGCCTGGCGTAAGCTGGTGGGAAACTCGGAAATGGGCCCTGTGAGGACCTGGGCTTGAAGCCCCCGCTCCTGCTCACCACAGGGATGAGCTCGGGCAGCGCCCTCACAAGGAAATCACAACAGCCAACGTACAGGGTCACTGTGCACAGAAGGTCGCCCTAGACACCCAGCACAGATCCTACAGCATCACCGTCACCACCAGCATAGCTGGAATGCAGTGCTGCAGCCACCTGGGAGAACAGTGACCACATGACCCAGCAATTCTGCTCCCAGGTATACCCCCAAGAGAAAGCAATGCCATACATCCACACAGAAACCTGTACACAGACGTTCTGTTCTCAAGTGTCCCTCGACAGGTGACGGATAGACACAACGTGGTCAATCCACACAATGGGGTGTCACTCAGCCGTGAGGAGGAATGGAGCTCTGATATGTCACAACATGGATGAAGCTCGAAAACGCAACGCTCAGAGAGAAAAGCCAGACACGGAGGCCACAGACTGTACGATCCCACTTACATTCCATAGAAACAGAAAACGGGTTAGTGGTTGCTCGGGGCTGCTACATCTCATATACTTTGGACATGCTGTCAGGAGGGATCAATCCCTGGAGGAGGGCATCATGCTGGATAGAGTGTCAATGAAAAAGAGAAAGACCCTCAACGAGATGGACTAACGCAGTGGCCGCAACAATGGGCTCAAGCATAACAATTGTGAGGATGGTGCAGGACCGGGCAGGGTTTGGTTCTGTAGTACACAGGGTCGCTCTGAGTCGGAACCGACTCGACGGCACCTAACGACGGGGCCTGGGAGTGACACCTAGTGAGCACAGGTTTCCCTCCAGGGTGACGGAAGCATTCTAAGATTGGCTGTGGTGAGGGTTGCCTAATCACTTTCACAATTCCGTGAACATCCTAAAAACCACTCTGAAGGGTAAGTCATACCCGTGTGAATCGTTGCACAGTGAAGCTGTTTGAACACAACAGTGTGTGCCCAGTGCTCACTTGCCAGGTGACTTTCTAAGCACAGTATTCCACAAACTCCATGCCCAGTCTGCGAGCGGGGAGGGCTGGGCTCCGACCCAAGCAGTACCTGCCGCCGCCGGCCCCTTTCCAGAAATCCTGGCACACAGCCCACGGCCATGCAGGGACAGTGGGAGAGGTCAGTGTGGAAGCCGTTACCCCAGAAGCTCCATCTCCACGAGGTCACACCCTTGCTCAGGCGTCCCGGCTGGGCTCATGGACAGGTATGGTGGCCACGGAGACCCCGACTCACTGGCCGGGGGGTGGGCTTGAGGGCAGACAGCCCCAACGGGTTTGGGTGCTGAGACCACCAAGGACGTCTCTTCTAGAAGGCTGACTTCTCTACTTGTGCTGTGCTGGCTGCTGTCAACCAGAGCCCACGTGGCCAGGGCAGCAGGAAGGAGCCCGAGGTCCTGACTCAGGCTTCAGGTATTGCCACAGCAACGGGAGGGGGCCACGGGGACCTCCAGTCGCCCCCTCCAGTGCTGTTCTGCCTTTAAAATGAACACGAGGCAGAACGTGGATTAGTGGGTGCCAGGGGCTGGGCGCAGGGAAGGGAGTGCTGATGGGTACAGGGCTTCCTTTTGGGTGATGAGAATACTCTGGAATTAGACGGTGGTGATGGCTGCACAGCTTTGTGAAGATACTAGAGACGGCCCTTCCCTGAATGAGGAGACCCAGGACACTCATGTGCCCACATTCCCACCCAGCAGCCTCTCTGACCGGGGCCTCAGCAGGAGGCGAGGTGGCCGGGGACTCAGAAAATGCTGTAGGTGTCACTGTCACCATGTCCCCCTAACCCACCACTCCCCACTGGGAGGGACAGTGACCCCAATGTGTCGGGCCAGTCACTGGGGCCAAGGGACCCAGGAGCGTTGCTGGACCCCCTCTCATTGCTGGCTCGCCCTCTCATCTCAGGCCCCTCCCCTGGTCCCCCTGCCAGGGTCCAGGGTCGCAGAGCGGAGCTCCTAGGCAGCTGGGGGCGGGGAGGGTGTGTGTCAGTCTTGGGGCACTTCCGCCATGCGGCCTGGGATCAGCTCCTGACCTGCAGCTTCCCGGGGTCTTTGCACAAACTGTTCCCTCCACGTGGACCCCTCCTCCCTGCTCCACCCGCCAGCCTCAGCTCAGAGGTCACTCCCTCGGAGGGGCCCTGGTTATCTGCCTTCCAAGACCCCTGCACTCCTCACTGCCTCTCACCACCTGTAACTACAGGGGTAAGAGGGCGGCCACTGGGAGGTCGGCTGTCGCTCAGGAGGGGCAGGCCTGCATCTCCCTCCCCAGCAGTGGTTGATGCAGCAGGGGCATTTGTTAACCAAGGACTATCAAGGCTCAGGCGGGCCTTGTCTGCCCGGCGCCTTTAAATCAAAAAGGAGAACTAAGCCATGTCCAAGGGTGCTTGGAAGTAGACAGCCTGGTAGATGGCTCCTAGCCTGGCGCCTCCTCGCTGGCCCAGGAGGACACAATCACAAGTTTTAGGTTTTGATGAAGACTCAGCCAAGGACTGATGGCACAGAGGGTGGTGGCAAAGGGAAGCCCACAGGCAACCCCAAGAGCCATGGCCTGCAGTCCACCCGCTTCAACACCTGAAGTCGAACTCTGCTTACCACCCCCCACATGGGGGGCTGACAGTCTCTGCCCTATTTGGAGATGAGAACTTGAGTGCGTCCTGGACATGCTCCTAAACCCAAGTTGCTCCTTCTCTGTTTGCTCCCTGCTCTCCGAAAATGGGGAAGACAGAGCACCACAGGGGACTGAAGAGCTGAGTGGAGGGACTAACCGCTCTCCGCCCTCTCGGCTTTGCAAACACTCGCCCTCAGACTCCCAGTCTGGGGTGGGGGGCCGTGGGGATGGCGAGCGGCTGGCCGCACACCCCCAGCACTCGGCTGGCATTCAACCAACAGCGGGCGCTCCGCTTCCCTGTCCCCCTGCCCCGGGGGCGCCACTGAGAACGGAAGCAAAGGGGAGGGACCAACAGAAGTTGGCCACCAGTTGGAAGCAGAGGAGAGAGGACTAGCAGCAGGTGGCCGGCCGGCTGGGGCTGGGTTGCAAGCAGGCGATCGAGTCCTTTGTTCCAAGGAGGGGGTCCCCTGCCAGCATCCACATGCCAAGAGCAGTGCCGCCCTCCAGCTTGGGGGATGGGAGCCTCAGACCCCCAACATAAATACAAAGACACGTCTAAGGGTTCTGTAACCTGGAAGGGCCCCGCCCCACGAGACGCTGTCATCTTCCAAAGTGCCCAAGAACAGGGCCGAGGAATGTTAAAAAAAAAAACACCAAAAACGCTTCTTGGAGCCCAGCCACCCGGGGATGCCCATTCCAGGGGCGGAAGGGGGTCCAGGAATCTGCATTTTGGGCACGCCTTCTCTGCCCCCCCACCAGATGAGACCTGTGACCCAAAACCCCGCCTCGGGCTCCGCGCGCCCCGGAGGCCCCCCCCCATGCGTCCCACTGGAATCCAGGGGAGAGTCCAGCCCCCACCCCCGCCTCCCAGCAGCCTCTGACCGCTGCCGGGCGCCCCTCGCCCCGCGGCCCAGCTCTCCGAACAAAGGCCGCCACCGCCCACCCCGGGCCGGTCCAAGTGCCATGCGGCCGCCCGCGCGGGGGGCGCACGCACACACACTGG